TCTGCCTAATGCTGCTTCCTTCTCTCTTCCACAGTGTTGATCTCAAAGGAAACTCTTAAAAAACAAATTGCTGCTTGAAACTGTTTCAGCTCTGCTTCCCAGAGAATCTACCCTGTGACCTAAATGTTACCTGTACCTACATGTAATATAGTGTCACCACTATGCCATCTGCATGAAACAGGAGGGACTGATCAGAACAGTGGCTTTTAGGGGCGTCTGGGTGGCTCAGTCGTTAAGCATCTGCCTTTGGCTCAGGTCGTGGTCCCGGGGTCCTGGGATCGAGCCCTACCGTCGGGCCTCCCTGCTCAGTGGGAGGCCTGCTTCTTGCTCTCCCACTCCCCCTGCTTCTCCCTCTCCCACTCCCCCTGCATCTCCCTCTCCCACTCCCCCTGCATCTCCCTCTCCCACTCCCCCTGCTTGTGTTCTCTCTCTCGCTGTGTCTCTCTCTGTCAAGTGAATAAATAAAATCTTAAAAACAACAACAACAACAGTGGCTTTTAGAAAAATCTCCCTTTTTAAGTGAAATCTTAAGTGAAATCCAAACACATAATGTAAGAGATAAAAGCCGGCCTTGTCCTGGGGGAGGTATGGATGAGGCTTGTTCCTGAAGCATCTTTCTACAAAACCGCTTGAAAGTCACACAAGAGATCTGCTTCTCTAAAGGTTACAGGAATAGTGGTGCCTGGGTGGCTCAGTCATTAAGCGTCTGCCTTTGGCTCAGGTCACGATCCCAGGGTCCTGGGATTGAGCCCCGCATGGTGGGGGGGGGGTCCCTGCTCAGTGGGGAGCCTGCTTTTCCCTCTGCCTGCTCCCCCTGCTTGTGCTCTGTCAAATAAATAAATAAAATCTTAAAAAAAAAAAAAAGATTACAGGAATAGAAACACAGAATTTAAGAGCTGGATCTCTGAAACCATACAGAACTCCTAATTTTACAGATGGAGAAACTGAGGCCCAGAGAGGTTTGTGATTTTCCTAAAGTAAAATAACACTAACAGTGGCAGACAGAACTATAAACTCGTTTCCTCATTCCTATGATCCATTATATAAAATTTTCTATTGAGAGCTTAAGATCCTATTTCATTTATGTTCCCAAGTGGAAAACTTTTAGGAAGTCAAGCATACCAACAAATATGAAGTTTCTGAATAATTTTTGTATTTCTGTTGAATGATAAATTTTTAAGCCCAGGTATAGGATTTAAATGGGTCTCATGAAGAGATACCATATTTAATATTCAGTTTTCACATATAACATATTCTACTTTTATTGCCTGCTTATATTCCCCCCCTTTTTTTTATTGTGGTGAAATATAATAAATTAACCATCTTAATTATTTTTAAGTATACAGTTCAGGGCTATTAAATAGACTTATAATGTTGTGCAACCGTCACCCCCATCCATCCTCGTAACTCTTTCATCTTGTAAAACTGAAACTTGTCCCCATTAAACAACTCTCCATTTCTTCCCTCTCCTCAGCCTCTGGCAGCCACCATGCTACTTTCTGTCTTTATGATTTTAGCTACTCTAAATGCCTCATATAAGTGGAATCATACAGCATTTGTCTTTTTGTTACTGGCATATTTCACTTAGTATAATGTCCTCGTGATTCGTCCATGTTGTAGTGTATGTCAGAAATTCTTTTCCTTTTTAAGGCTGAATAATATTCCATTGCACATATATACCATATTTTGCTTATCCATTCATCCATCAATGGACATTTGGGTTGCTTCCAGATTTTAGTATTATAAATAATGCTGTTATAAACACAGTTGTACAAATACTTCCTTGAGACCCTACTTTCAATTTTTGAGGGTACATATCCAGACGTGGAAGTGCTGGATCATGTGATAATTCTATTTTTGATTTTTTGAGGAACTACCATACTGTTTTCCACAGCAGCTATACCATTTTATATCCCTATCAACAGTGTACAAGGGTTCCAATTTTTCCACATCCTTGCCAACTCTTGTCATTTTTTGTTTTTTTGATAGTAGCCATCTTAATGGGCATGAGGTGCTATCTTATTGTAGTTTTGATTTGCATTTCTTTAGTGATTAATGATATTGAGCATCTTTTCATGTGCTTATTGGTTATTTGTTTATCTTCTTTGGAGAAATGTCTATTCAAATCCTTTGCTCATTTTCAATTTGGGTTGGTCATTTTTTGGTTGTTGAGTTTTAGGAGCTCGCTCTCTATTCTGGATATCAATCCCTTATTAGATATGCAAATATTAGATATGCAAATATGATCTGCAAATATTTGGTCCCATTCTGTGTGTTGCTTTTGGTTAGCCTGCTTATATTTTCAGTTCAGTTAATTCATTCAGTTTTATTCACAAGTGTTTTTCAATTTTCTTTCATCACATTTCCTCTATATATTTATTTCATAATAAAATAGAAATACATTATATAACTTAAATTCTTCCTGACAAACATTTTGTATGGATCAAATACAACGACCATCTATTTCAGAATATAAATTAATATCTATTCTTTTTTTAAAAACAAGATTTATTTTATCTTAGAGAGAGAGAGAGAGAACGTGGGTGGGGAGGGGTAGAGGGAGAGAGAAACTTAAGTGCTGAGTGGGGAGCCTGATGCAGGGTTCAATGTGGGGTTCGAGCTCATGACCCTGAGATCATGAGCTGAGCAGAAACCAAGAGTTGGTTGCTTAACCAACTGTGCCACCCAGGTGCCCCATATATTAACATCTATTCTTAAGTGATTACATGCAAGAGAAAAAAGTATTGAAAAACCTATATTATCATAAAACAGGTCTGTACCATCACACACCAAAATTAGAATTAAAATCTCCAGTGAGTTCAAGACTAGGGTTTTCCTTCTTGTTGACTGTGCCAGTAGTATCTTTCTTCTAATTCTGTTTTCATTTGAGGGGTCCTAGAGTAAAAAGATCCAGTGGAATTCCTTTTCTTTTGATCCCTATACCCATGGAACTCCAGAGGTAATAGAAAGGAAAGAGCCAGATTTGTCAGCATCCATGATAACTATTTCCAAAAAGAGAGCCCAGCAAAACCTTCTTTTCTACCTTTCAAATATAGGATCACTTGCCCATGTTTAAAGAAGGCTGGCTGCCAATGCTGAACTCTTAGCAGATTTCTGCATCTGTATGCTATAACTCCTTTACTCAAAATGCTTCCATGGCTTTCTGATAACTTGGTCCTTGCTGTCTCTCTAGATTCCATTCACTCTTCACACTGCTCACCAAGCTCTAACTTCTCTGACCTTTCCCCTCTTCGTTGAACATACAAAGTTCTTTTTGTCTCAGGGCTTTTGCGCTTGTTTTCTGATTCATCCCCATCTCTCACCCCAGGTTAGCTAACGTCTACTTATCTGTGAAGTTTTAGCTTAAATGTTACTTCACTGGGTAGGCTCTCCACTACTCCCTGATAGATTAAATACTCCTTTTACCCAGAGCAGAAATTTTCATAATCACATGATATAGTTAATTGTACAATTATTTTCCTAATCTCCCCCATAGAGAATAAGTTTCATGAAAGTGTTATGTGTGTTTTATTTCCTACGTATCCACAGGACCTACCATAGTTCCTGGCATGTAGTAGAAGTCCTCACCAATTTTTGTTGAATAAATGAATAAGTTAATCCGTTCAGAAAATAAATATGTATCCCTCCACTACTTATGACCAGGGACCAATATATTTTCTCCTGCCCTTCATTCCTTACCTGTTCAATTTCCTTTTTGTTGCAAGGAAAATGCACCAATTGAAGTTTAAGTGAAAAAAATTCTTAAACGTGCTCTATCACTGAAATTAGCATTTATTAAAACAAGTACATATATACCTTACAAGACAAAATAAAGAGATTCTTTCATATAATTCTACACTATGGACTGCTTACCTAAAGTCACTCAAAACATTTTTGGGACTTCGTCCAAAGAATTATTGGTAATTCTGTATAATACTCACTTTTTTTTTTTTTTAAGATTTAGTTTATTTATTTGACAGAGAGAGACACAGCGAGAGAGGGAACACAAAGCAGGAGGGAGTGGGAGAGGGAGAAGCAGGCTTCCTGCAGAGCAGGGAGCCCGATGCGGGGCTCGATCCCAGGACCCTGGGATCATGACCTGAGCCGAAGGCAGACGCTTAATGACTGAGCCACCCAGGCACCCCTGTATAATATTCATCTTATAGAAAATGCTCTGCAAGAAACTTTAAGACTTTGTTTTTTTTTTCATTTTTTTCATGAAGTACTTCAACTTATAAACTATGACAGGTCTGTATGAAAGGAAATTTTTTTTTCTTTTTTTTTAGATTTACTTATTTGAGAGACAGAGAGGGGGAGGACAGGGAGAGGGAAAGAGAGTCTTAAGCAGACTCTGCACTGAGCACAGAGCTGGATGCAGGGCTCGATCCCATGACCTGAGCCAAAACCAAGAGCTGGACTCAACCAACTGCACCACCCAGGCATCCCAGGAGGATCTTTAATTGGAAAACCAAAGTAAAAATAAATAGAATCATTCATTCAAAAGTCAGAATATTTAAGCTGACAGAGCTAGTTTTAGAATAAATCTAAGAGCAACAGAAAAGAGTAGAAACTGTTTCTAAAACAAATGATATCTTGGGAATATACATTAAGAAACATACTTCTGAGAGCATACTTCTAAATGGGCACAACCAATGGGTTATATTCAGGAAGGTGTTAGGATTACAGTATTAAAAGTTATTGGTTTAGAGGGGCATTTTATCAATTTCTTTGACTTGAAGATTTATGGATTTATTTATTTTCATTTACTGATGATGGTAGACATCAGAGTAGCAGGAGAGAAAGATGAAGAAATAGGCCCAGCTATAGCTTCGCATAGTCTTTTGTTATCTTTTTACTATAAGAAAACTTTCAAGTGCTAGGTCTAGTCCCATACTGCAGTTGTAGAAAGGTACCACTGAAATGTCTGGATGCCAAGTAGCCTGAGCTGGCTTCACTACATTGACAAAGCCTAGAGCTGCGAAGGGTACCACAGAACCTACCTTCTTGGGCATAACAGAGGAACTGGAATTTACAGTGCTTTCGTCATCGTGCATCAGGACAGGTTCAGAGCTGTTCTCATCCATGACCTCCTGCATGCTGTTCACACTGCTGCTCTGGCTGCCTGTGCTCACAGACACGCTTGGGATGGAATGGTTGCTGCCCAGGCTGTCCATTTCCCTGATCAGGCTGGTTCCATGTTCGCTGTCCTAGAAAAATGGGGCATGGGGGTTAAAAAAGATGACTGGAGATAAAGTGCCAATCCATTGACTGAGCTATTAAGCACACTCAGTTCTGCAGTGCCAAGTTGCTCTTCTGCCAAATCTGCAAAGATAAACTTTTTATGTAGTGACTCTACTACATCTCAAATTCACTTCTCTGCCTTCCTCAGGGGTCGTTCTGGACATGGGTCATAAGGCTCCAAATGCTGCTATCCCAGGGCTTTCCCCGGTCATATGCAACTATCATATTATTGTATTGCTATTCAGTAAGCAGAAATTGGGCCAGGTTTATAAGAGACTTTCAGGAACATCAAGGTGATAGAGAAAGATTGTAGGTAAATGAACAGGTGACCTCTGGGATATTTACAAATAGGGCAGAGGTCTGAAACTAAAATAAAGTTAAAAGAGTTTTCAGAGATTTGACAAGCAATATGTTCCTTTGCAAATCATTGTTGAGTAACTTCATGTCTAAGCAGGGATATTAATTCTACTGTCCTGGACAGGTAATTAAATTCTGCCTCCCTCAAGCAATTCTATCATGCTTACCTCTGTAATCTTATTAAATATATCTGTTAAATAATACTGGTATTCATCACTGCTAGTCCAAAGACTACTATTTGAGAAGTGGTAAAATAATCAGAATATGTAATTTACCCATCACAGTGGGATATCTTTTGATATAAGATTAAATAATATAATTAAAGCAACTTAATTAAAAAAAAATCCTAATTTCAAAGAACCATACTGTATGTATATATCTTTAATGAATTGTTACTTAGCCATGGCACTCTAAGCAATCACTGGCATAAGTAATTTGGGTAATTTAAAATGGTAGATAATACATTATATTATTAACAGATTTATTTTCCCAATTAATGGGGATCGTTTGTATATGTACAATCAAGAGATTTTTTTAAAGATTTTATTTATTTTATAGTCCAATTCAGTTTTCTGAATTTCATTTTTATAATTATTAATTTTTTTCTTTTATATAAAAAGGTAAAATTCACTGTTCATTCCTTTCCTCTTTTTTATTTAGTTTTAGGGAAGTCCTTTCTTTTGTTCAAAGCTCTAATACTCCTATCCCATGCACTTTCTGAGATCCTACTTCTTTTTTTTTTAATTTTATTTTATTATGTTATGTTAGTCACCGTACATTACATCATTAGTTTTTGATGTAGTGTTCCATGATTCATTGTTTGCGTGTAACACCCAGTTCTCCATGTTAATACGTGCCCTCCTTAATACCCATCACCGGGCTAACCCATCCCCCACCCCTCTCCCCTCTAAAACCCTCAGTTTGTTTCTCAGAGTCCACAGTCTCTCATGGTTCATCTCCCCCTCCGATTTCCCTCCCTTCATTTTTCCCTTCCTACTTTCTTCTTCTTCTTTTTTTTTAACATATAATGTATTGTTTCAGAGGTACAGGTCTGTGATTCATCAGTCTTACACAATTCACAGCGCTCACCATAGCACATACCCTCCCCAGTGTCCATCACCCAGCCACCCCATCCCCCCCCCCACCACTCCAGCAACCCTCAGTTTGTTTCCTAAGATTAAGAGTCTCTTATGGTTTGTCTCCCTCTCTGGTTTCATCTTGTTTCATTTTTTTCCTCCCTTCCCCTATGACCCTCTGTCTTGTTTCTCAAATTCCTTATATCAGTGAGATCATAGGATACTTGTCTTTCTCTCACTGACTTATTTCGCTTAGCATAATACCCTCTAGTTCCATCCATGTCACTGCAAATGGCAAGATTTCAGGTTTTTTGATGGCTGCATAATATTCCATTGTATATATACACCACATCTTCTTTCTCCATTCATCTGTTGATGGACATCTTGGCTCTTTCCATAGTTTGGCTATTGTGGACATTGCTGCTATAAACATTGGGGTGCACGTAGCCCTTCAGATCACCATATTTGTATCTTTGGGGTAAATACCCAGTAGTGCAATTGCTGGGTCATAGGGGAGCTCCATTTTCAACTTTTTGAGGAACCTCCGTACTGTTTTCCAGAGTGGCTGCACCAGCTTGCATTCCCACCAACAGTGTAGGAGGGTTCCCTTTTCTCTGCATCCTTGCCAACATCTGTCGTTTCCCGACTTGTTAATTTTAGCCATTCTGACTGGTGTGAGGTGGTATCTCATTGAGGTTTTGATTTGTATTTCCCTGATGCCAAGTGATGTAGAACAATTTTTCATGTGTCTGTTGGCCATCTGGATGTCTTCTTTGCAGAAATATCTGTTCATGTCTTCTGCCCATTTCTTGATTGGATTATTTATTCTTTGGATGTTGAGTTTGATAAGTTCCTTATAGATTTTGGCTGAGATCCTACTTCTTTAACTACATCTGTCTCATCTAATTCAATGCTTCTGTCCTGGCTTCTTCCACTCTGCCTATAAATATGAAGAGTCCTGCCCCATACTTACAGACCTCTCTCCATACTGCCCTTTGTCCCTTTTCCTTCTTATCCAAATTTATGAATCTTAAAAATAACCAGCTTTCACTGTCTCTACTTTCTCATTTCCCATTTATTCTGCAAACCCACAGTTATCTATTATTCATCCTAACTACTCCTGTAAAGCTGCTTTGATGAAGGTCATCAAGAATGCCCTGCTTGTAAAACCCAGTTAACATTTTTTTTGGGGGGGGGCCTTGTCTAACTTGACCTCTCTGTGGCATCTGATGATACTGGCTGCTCCATCCTTGAAGTTGTGGACTGCTGAACATCTGTGATGCTTGTTTCCTCGGGTCCCTCATATGGCATGGCCCTCTTCCCATTCTACATTCAACGCCTGATTCATTACCATTTTAATGCTCTTGACCCCCAGCCAACCACCCTTTACCCAGACCTCTTTCTTATGTTCTGGGTTTGAATTTTCCAACCAACTGCGAGACGTCACCATTCAGGTGTCCCAATTGTCATTACCCTTACCTCAACCAATCCTTCTTAAGTTATTTGAATGAGAAAACAAAGTCACCTCTCCTTTGAAAACACCCGTCTGTATACTATGTCGGCAGCATATGATGCCAGGACCTTAACCTCAACAGGTATCAAACTGAAATCATTCCAAACCTACTCTTTCTCCTTAGTTCTTTTTCTCTGTTCTTGGTTTTGACATACCCTAGTCACCTGGGTTAAAATGCTCAGAGTCACCTTAAACTCTTCACCTGTCACTGTCACTTTCAATGAGAAGCACTGTATTATCAAATCTACTTCTACAGTGTTTCTCAAAAGTGTTCCTTTCCCCCCCATCCCACTGACATTGCCCTTATTATCACTCACATGGACTATTACACAGAATGTGACACATTCCAGTCTGTCGTAATACACTCTGTTGCCAGGATAATCTTCCTAAAGCACAGCACCTTCCTGAGCCTAAAATGTCCTATGCCTGTCTCTCAGAAACCACCCACATCATGTCCTGCACATAAACTTCACTAATCACCCCCTCCAGCAGGCTTATTTTCTCCCCACTATGGACCCCCTGCATGGTGACACACCTCAATAGCATTTTTCATATTTTGTCTTATGTAAGAGTTATTTTATGAACGTCTCTTTTGCAACTCTGCATGATTCTTGAGGCCCAAAGCACCAATTACATTTTTATCACCAAAAGTGGTTTTCCTAGTGCCCAGTCCAGAACTTTCCCATGTAGTAGGCATCCCATCAGTGCCTACCAAATAAACTGAACCTACTTCTTCATCCTCCTGTGACTCATTTAAGGGTCCATTTCGCGTCTCTTGGAAAAGGATTTTTTTCATTTTTCGGTACTGTAGGTTATCTAATTCGCGAACGGCATCTTTTGTCCTCTGTATGAGGTCAATTAGGACACGTAGTGGCCGGTCTCGTCGAACAAAATCGTGCTGGTTGAGGGAGGAGAAAAAAACAGAAACTGAAAGTGAGAAAACAGATTTTGGGGGGCAAGATTTACATTATAAAAGTAAATAGACATAAAATAGGCCTATTGATTTTGCAGAAATAATAAGATATGACTCATTTCATATAGCCTCTCATTTTGCATAAATCTTATAAAGAGATAACTATGCTTTTATCTTCTTCCTCAAGCCCCATTTTTGGGACCTCGTCCTAGAGTTTACTTGAGAATTCTTGAGGTTACTTTAACATATAAGTAGTAACGACTAGTAGCTTAGAGGCTTGTAACTTTCAAATCCGAAAGAAAGATTTGAATATACATAACAAGTAGAAGCAATGCAGAGTTATAGATATTATTGTCATAATTTGCCTCAATCCTCCTACCCACCCTACACTACCCTGTTGAAACAGACTTGTATATATTTTGTTTTCTTGTGGTCATTCTAGTGTATGCTTGAAAATATGGCAGTTACTCAATTTATTTAGAGGTCATAATTCTGGCAACTTCATTTTGCCTTTACCGAGCTGTACAACCAGAAATAAGGGAAAAGGGCCTTTGAAGAGTGAAAGTAACTGCCCCAAAGTCCTTAAACTTTTCCTGGTATAAATGGCCCTCACTTTCAATATTATCAGTGATCTTGACACATATTCTGGTTTCCTGGTTTCTTAGCCTGTATCAGTTTAGAAAGAGGGAATAAAAGTGGGAGAAGAGAGGATGGAGAGCTATTAGAACCAGAGTTATTTGTTATAAAAAGAACTGTCCTATGAAAGTTTTCAGGCAGCATGACAGTCAAGAAAAAGAGAGGAAAATCCATGACTAACACACCTACCAACCAACCACATAAAAATGAACAAAGGTTTGTGGGCTATTTTGCAAAGGGGAAAATGCTCCTCATGCAGTCTTTTTATACTCTAAGAGTTGATGAAACACTACTGTTTCTGAGCCACCAAGAAGTGAAATTATGTTCATTACGCTTTCTTTAAGAAGGCACAGAAGTACATCATGTATTTTGACAAGATTATGCAGAAAATGATCAAAAGTGGGAGGAGGAAGTTTTTGTCTTTTTTTTTAAAGGATAAGTTTGTTATGTGGAAAATTCACTTATGTGAAATTATACTTTGAAGATATTGGGAAAATGGGATATAATGTGGTAGGTGTTGGATGATGGAATGGATTTCATTTCTTCCTAAGTTAAACAGCTATAAAAGAGGAGTAGGGCCACTGTGAGAAAAACAGGCACATGTCTTGTGGTTCTTCATCCTGACTTTGCTGTCAGGGGAACTGTGGCTTTTGCTCCTGCTTTTATAAAATATCTCTTCCTCTGCAGAGTCCTTTCTGAAAATGAAACACTATTCCTGGAAGTGAGTGCAGCCTGAATAGTTCCAGATGAGCATGAAAGGGAGAAAGTAAATTATTTTGCTCCTCTAGTACTTGTGATTATATAAGAGCAAACTGGTTTTCAGTGAACTTCAAGCTATAACTTAGGATCAGTGAATTTTAGAGCAAAAATAGCACTTAGAAATTCTTTTATTTTCAAGGTGTGGAAATTCAGGCACGGAGAGGTTAGGTGATTTACACAGCCAAATAGTGGAAGAGCTACACCTGTAACCCACGTTTCCTCATTTGGTGTTTGTTTTCTGGTGGTCTACCACTGCTGTTATCTTTCTAAGACATAGATTTGATTGTGTCACTCATTGTGACAGACACTGGTGTCCCATTCACCCCCCCATTCCAACCTCTTTTCCTCGCCTTCATTTATTGTAAGCACTAGAAAGTAAAAAGAGTTGAACTCCGGCCTTTTTTGGAGTTACAGATAACAGTATGACTGAGTTCTGGTGAGATACTATAGAGGCAGAAGTCCCTGAGGAAAATTTTGTTTTCTAGAATAAAAAGGCAAAGCACCTGAAGAAAAGGTGTTTCCCACTCTGCCCCCCTTCCTCCTTTTTCCCTCTTGGGATAAAGACTTGAGTTCTGGAGATGCAGGAGCAATTTTGTGACCAAGAAGATAAAAGCCACATACTGAGGATAATAAAGTAGGAAGATAGAAGGAGCTTGGATCCATGATGACATTGTTGAGCTGCTTATTGCTCTGGACTGCTTATAACATCTCCTTTCTCAATGCCCTGGACTTCTTATTGCACAAGATAATTAAACCCTTACCTGTTTAAGCCTTTTAAAACTGATACACTCAACGTCTTAAACATATGCCTCCATGATGGAGTTTGGCCTTTTACAGCCAGGTTTGTGGTTATATTTCTATGTTCAAATCTAGTCACTCCTAATCCTCCTTCCCATCCAACACATATAGTACATTCTAGATAGTTCTTGACTCATGCCATGTGTTTCACACCTACATGCCTTTGCTTATGTTCTTTCTGCCTGCAATCCCATCTCTTCCCTGTTCTCCAAAGCCCATTATTCTCGAAACCCCTACAACTAAAAGGTCCCCAGATCCTTTTAAAATAATGGTTTTATTGTTCTTGAAAGTATATTTCCTTGAAACATTTAAATAATACAGAAAAATGCATAAAAGAAAGTAAATCATCCCAAGTTCCACCATCCAGAAATAAATATTACTAAATTAAAGAACATCAATTCAGACATTCTCTCTCAGGATAATGGATATCTAGAAATAATTTTACATGGAAAGATTACACATGCTAATTTTAAGAAAGTCTACTAAATTAAGGTATGCTTAAATGTAGCAGAATTAGAAGACAATGAAGTAAAGCTTAACTTTAGTTATAATTTCTAACTAAATTATAACTTTAGTTATAATTTCTTCACCAAGACTTACCAGTTCTTAAAAAAAAAAGACTCTCTAAAGTTAACCAAAAAAAAAAAAAAAAAAAGGAAAAAGATGACGGAGATCGGAGTTACCTTTTTTTTAATCTATGCATTTCAACTTAAGGATATTATTGACCATCTACTCTGAAAAATAGGAAAATCAGTACACTTATCTTTCTTTCCTACCCCTAGGTTGTTCTACTTACATTAGTATTTTTACATTGTCAATGTTTATAGACTTACATTCTGCTCATTAACCATATAAATGATTTTACCTTGGCTCTGTATTTAAATGGATTCAATGTGAAGGTGACATTTTAAAATGTCAGGAAGAAAATGTGAAGAAAAGATGAATTACCTAAAAATATTTGGGAACAAAATAGTCAACTGGGAGGAAACAAGTTGACTTCTTTATAACAAATTTTTGCATGACCTCTCAAAAGAAGCCCAGCATAAAGAACATCGAAAGAGAAACAGGGAAAAAAATATTTGCAAGATCTACTACAAAATAATAAGGAAAAAAAACCTAACAATCAGATAAATGGGCAAAGATCACAAAGAGTATACAAAAGAGGAAACCAATAGCTTTTCAACTTATGAAAGATGCTCAACTTAGCTCATAACAAGAAATACTATAAGCTTTCCACTGAGCTGAGAGCCAAGTTCAAAAAGTGTTGGTCCTCATACTTTGTTAGTGGGACTATAAATTGGTGCAACATTTTTGGAGGAGGATTTTTGTCAGTATCTGTTTAAATTTAAAATCTATATTCCCTCTGACTGGCAATTTCACTTGCAGGATTTTATTCTTTCAATATCCATATACAGGTATAAACCAACACATAGAAAATCACTGCCGTAGTTTGTAATAGCAAAAGACTGCAAACACCATAAAGAGGTTAAAACAAATACGGTCATTCTGAAAATTTTACGGATCCGTTTATAAGAATGAGGTAGCTCTGCATGTAGTGACATAAAAAATACGGCAAATATACTATGAAGTAAAACAGGCAAACACATAATCAAGGTAGAATAGTGTTTACAGTTTGCTCCTATTGGTGCAAAAATAAATCGGTACATTTACTTCCATATGCATAGAATATCTCTAGAAAAACATGCACAAAATTGGTGACAGTGGCAGCTAACTCTAGAGAGGGTCCTAGAATAGGAAGGAGATTTACTTTTCATACTCTGTGTTTTGAAATTTGTATTACCTATCCAACATGAAGAATGTAGTCTCTTTAACCAAGCAAAAGAAATATATAAAAATTTTGGGGGTCAATTTAAATTTGGTGTTTGCTGCCAGTCCTTTTAACAGTTTCCTCAGTTCCTAATTCATTCTTTCTTCCTTCTCTCCCTCACTATTTTTCTGTCTTGTTTTATCACTAGATTGACTGGATTTTGCTATTGAGCAATTTTTTAAAAAGCTATTAGAAAAAAAAGAGGCTTGAAAATGTCAGCTGCCTTTATAACTAAAGAGCACCTCAGCTGGGTCAAAGATCCACCCCAAAATACTTTTTTTTTTTTTTTTCAGCCTATTTGTAGGAATCTTTCTTTATCCTTGGAGTTCAGGAACTTCATCAGGTTACTGAAGATCAGTTCCATGGTGTATGTCTTCAGGGCTCTGCTTAAAAGTTATCTTCCTAGAAAGGCCTTCTCTAACTCATCTAAAATACCAGCTCCTGGGGTGCCCAGCTGGCTTTGGTGGGAGAATGTGCAACTCTTGATCTCAGGATTGTGAGTTTGAGCCCCATGTTGGGGGTAGAGTTTACTTTAAAAAAAAAAAAGAGGGGTGCCTGGGTGGCTCAGTCATTAGGCGTCTGCCTTCGGCTCGGGTCATGATCCCAGGGTCCTGGGATTGAGCCCCGCATTGGGCTCTCTGCTCGGCGGGAAGCCTGCTTCTCCCTCTCCCGCTCCCCCTGCTTGTGTTCCCTCTCTCGCTGTGTGTCTCTCTGTCAAATAAATAAAATCTAAAAAAAAAAAAGAAAGAAAGGAAGGAAGGAAGGAAGAAAAAGAAAGAAAGAGAAAGAAAGAAAAAAGAAAGAAAGAAAAGGAAAGAAAAGGAAAGAAAGAAAGAAAAGAAAGAAAAGAAAAAAAGAAAGAAAGGGAATTCCGGGTACCGTCACTCTTCATTCCTGTCCCTGCTTTATCTTTCTGCAAAAAATTTACTGCGGAGGCACCTGGGTGGCTCAGTAGGTGAAGTGTCTGCCTTCAGCTCAGGTCATGATCCCAGGGTCCTGGGATCCAGCCCCACATCAGGCTTCCTGCTCAGTGGGGAGCCTGCTTCTCCCTCCCACTCTGCCGCTTCCCCTGCTTGTGCTCTCTCCCTCTCTGTCAAATAAATAAATAAAATCTTAAAAAAAAAAAAGAATTTACTATGAACTGATATCATATATTTACTTGTGTGTTTAGTGCTTGGAACAGTGCTTGGTATGCAATAGACAATCAGTAAATATTTGCTGAGTAAAGGGTGGGCTCATGTGATTTGGCCCACCAAATCAAATTAAGACTAAATCAAGTCAAATAAAGATCCAAACATTTATTTCCAATAAAGTTTTCTTCAGGTACACTTTAAATATCTTCTGCTAGATGTGTTTTGCTTTCTTCTTCAGGAATAACAGGTTGGTGTGTATTAGATCTCCTGTCTTCCACATGAGTCACCTTCATTATGATCACCTTTACAATTTTTCCTCTTGCATTTAACTTTGTTTTATTTCCTTACAACCTTCTATCACTGGAAATACCCTACATGGGTTGGTTTATTACATTAGTTTGCTGCTTATGATTTTGTGTTTTAATTTTTCTCTTCCATTTCTTTTCTTACCTCTGCCCACTTGCTTTTTATATCCCTTTGGTGTCTGTACCTTAAAATTCATCTTTGAATCCTTGTATTATCTTCTTCTCTGAGGTGCTTTTCCCCCTTAATTTTAATATAGCCCCAAGTTATCTCTTTCCCTTTATGGGAGTGCTTTCTACTCCCTGCCACCATTTTAAAACTTTTTTCACTTACTTCAAAGTAATAAAGATACTACTTTATCTTAGGTTATTTGGTGCTTTGTTCTGGTTGTCGTTTTTCCCTACAGAAATGTGGAGCTGTCAATGAGACATACAGAGTAGAGTTCATGTCTAGAACACAGGATGGCCCTACACCAAAGGGAATTAGACAGAGTCCTTTGCCTTGTTGCTTTGGCCACCATATTTCTGTGGGCTACTATTCACAAGAAGAAAAAACTTAATTTAATGTGGAAAAACTCACTGGCTTCAGACCTACATCTTCAGGAACACTTAAAAGCCAGAAAATAGGATAATGTTTACAGAGTTCTCAGAAAAACAAAATGTAGGGCGCCTGGATGGCTCAGTTGGTTAAGCGACTGCCTTCGGCTCAGGTCATGATCCTGGAGTCCTGGGATCGAGTCCCACATCGGGCTCCCTGCTCAGCGGGAAGTCTGCTTCTCCCTCTGACCCTCTTCCCTCTCGTGCTCTCTGTCTCTCACTCTCTCTCTCTCAAATAAAAATAAATAAAATCTTTAAAAAAAAAAAAAAAAAAAAAAAAGAAAAACAAAATGTAAATCAAGAATTTGTGACCTAGACAAGGTGCTCCTCAATTATAAAGGCAGCTGACAGTCTTAAGCTTTCAAATTTAGGCAATATAATCTTTCTGAGTTTTTCTTAAAAACAACCAACCAACAAAAAAGAGTTGAAAAATATACATACAGAAAGAGGTTAAATAAATCTGGACTAGTTTGTGCCAAATAAAAGACATTTATGTTGTAAAAGTCTCCATACACTTTACTGATATTGATGGAATCTACATATAAAGTTTATAATAAATGTTACATGAAGAGATGCCCAAAAATGCGATGTTTAAATCAAATGAATGGAGTTAACATGATACTCTTGTCACCAACACGTATGATGTAATGTGATGTAAATGTATGCTTTGTATACTTATTGTACATCTTCACTGCCTGATGATTTGGCAACAATCTAACCGAAAATCCCCGAGTTGGCATGTGAACCATTGGCAGACTGTCCTGAAAGCACTGTATCGAAGTTCATGCCGATATTAGTCATAGGAACATCACAATGATGACCAGAGCAAAGAGAATTACTTGTTGTCATAGGCAGAAAGAGGGAGAGGAAAAAAGAGAAGATGGAAAAGTTGGGGAAAAACTGTCCACATGGAATATATAGCACCATCCATTGTGATAATCTTGCGATTTCTATGCCTAGCTATTATCTCTGGATAAATGAGAAGGCAGCACGTTCTAATCCAGTTTGTCACGATGAGCTGCCCTAGAAATGATTTACTATACTCCACTACAACATGACTTTGAATCCCCCTACTCAAATATAAATTTGAAAAATTACCCGTAATAGCTCCGCTGACGTTGGCCTTTCCTGAGGTATTTTCTGCAAGCAGTAATCAACAAATCTCCGAAAGGAGTCTGTCCTATATGTGCAAATACATGAAAAGAAAATAAAATCAGGGTCTGTGGAATACACTGGGTGTTTAAAATAATTCTCATTCAAGGGAAAGTTTTATACTTTAAGAGATTTTTAATAAAATATATGGAATATTAGGAGAAGTGGACTATTTTCAAGTTTATAGTATCTAAAAATTAATATTTGGATAATGAATGTGGAGAGTTTCAAGTTAGTCAACACAAACATATCTTAACAAATAAGCAAGATCAAATCATAATTTATGTCAGAAAATTAAAAGTATTATTATTTATATATACAATAGTTTTATACACATTTTTCTTTCCAAAGATAACAACTCTAAGTCTCAAGCCTATATTCTTCACTGCTAGTTGGTAACTTCTCCATCACCCATCACCTCTAACCAGGTAGTAAAATTTGAAGCATAAGGGAAGAGAACTTAGGAATATGGTTTCTGGATGGAAAAACTTCCCTCTCTTGAGAATTCCATTTTGTCCACTCTTGTTTAAAATTGCCCTTCTTCTCTAACTCTTGTGGCCCAAACAGTTATCAAAATGTTACAATTTTCTGCAAGGAACAATACGTCTTCTGAATAGATAGTGTCTGTTCGATGTCAACATACTTAAATATACATATAATAAAAGAAATGACAACTGAAAAATAATGACATCACAGAAGGTACTTTATCTCTGCGAAGAAGTGATAAGAGCTGAGATGATCAATACAAGACTCAGGATTTAAGAGATGAGACTTATTAGGAAGATAGCAGGGCATGTTCCCTGTAGAATTTCAGTTCCTACACACACATTAAGAACACAGTACAAGTGACAGTGAGGGCAGAAATAAAAATGTGTGTGTGTGTGTGTGTGCATAGCCAGTTCATGCCTAAAAAGTACCACTGTCACTTACTATAACATACAATGAAGGAATGTATGGTTTCTAGGTCAGATATTTAAAATGTGATTCAATTAAAGTGCCAAATACATACAGTGATTCCCTTAGAGACTTAAAACGAGAGCAGAGTCTTACCATTCATTAGATTGTAGCGTTGGGGAGTCATTCTGGGCAATATGGTATAAGGCACTCATTGCATTCATGTTGAAAAGGGGGGGCTTCCGTTCCGCTGAAGGAAAAGAAACACGATAAAACAGTTCTTGAAAGAAATCAGGCAGACAGAGAAGTAAGGATCTGTGAGCAAAGCTTTGCTGCTAAATCATGGCTCGTTACTGTCATCGTGCCACATAATCCACTTATTTTCATCTCTAAGGTCAGCCCAGGATAGCCATTCAGAAGAAGCTGCTGGTCATCTTAATGTACACTGGCAAAGCTCCTAACAGAACCATTTCAAAAGACTCAAAGAAAAAATTTTTTTTCACCTCTTCAAATGCTGGTCTTTGCTTGTGTTCCCACAATAGGTATGAACATCTTTGTATGTATGTGTTTTAATGTAAACATATGTATTCATTGAAAACAATCCATAAGGCACAGAAAAATAGAATGAGAAAAATTATTATAGAATGGAACATCTTCAACATGACTAACAGAGCAAGGGAGATAAAGTAATTCAACTCAATAAACACTGTCTGAAGGCTCATCTAGGCCAAATAAATGGTACAGGTGGTGGTGGAAGAGAAATGGGAGAAAGCAGGGGAGGGGGGATAAATCATAATCAAGGGTTGGTCCAACCCCTTTTAAAGAGAAACTCAGTGAAATTAGGTATTTCTTAATAGATTTATTCCATCTCAGCCCATCACGGTCTCCTTTTTGGAACTTCTATAGCTCTAGCTTAGTACTGCTTATTTGGCATGTGCTCTCCTACTGCACTCACATAAACAATCTTTTCTCTCAAAAGAAATCATTAGCTCTGTGAGTAAGATCTTACAACCCTAGTACTTTTTTTTTTTTTAAAGATTTTATTTATTTATTTGAGAGAGAGAATGAGAGACAGAGGGCATGAGAGGGAGGAGGGTGAGAAGGAGAAGCAGACTCTCTGCTGAGCAGGGAGCCCGATGTGGGACTCGATCCCGAGACTCCAGGATCATGACCTGAGCCGAAGGCAGTCGCTTAACCAACTGAGCCACCCAGGCACCCCGTCAACCCTAGTACTCTAGTACTCTTAATGCTTTTATTCCTCAAGCAATATAGAATGTTATTCACATATTAAGTGCACGATTTGCTGACCAAAGGAAAGAAACAAGGTTCTAGTTCTGAGTGCAGTTGATTTTATATTATTTACTAGTTATTATGCCCTAGAAGATAAATCACTATCTCTTTCTACCATGCTTATCCTAATGCATTCTTTACACAGTCCCACCTTGTAATTCATAATCTAATTCTCGGGTTTTATCAAGCATCTTGGTTTTTAAGCACTTTAAAAATGGTGAATTTGGCTTATTCTATGCAATTCTAAGAAATAAGAACTAAGGACAGAAGTAACACAAAAGACATTTTCACTTGCAGAAGAATGACTTGTGAAAAGCCAGGGTGAGAAAACAAGAAAACAAACCCCCCCAAACTTGGAATGAACAATTTTAAGAGCAGTGAAATTTAAGTCACTGGCAGTATCCCAGAGCAGAAGACAACTATGGTTATTCATCCATGATGCTTTGGAGGGGCCTCTTATAGTCTTGACTAAGTGTTCTCTGATACTTTTAAAATGTACAGTCTACCAATCTATAAATACTTTTTATTAGCCTCTCAATAGAATACTATATACTCATGAAATAGCTACCAGTATCATAGGGGCATGGACTGTTAACAAGTGGAAATTTGAAAGTTGTAGTGATTTATATCTGTTCCAAATGTAGAAGAGTTCAGGTTTAGGTTCAGGTATATTTATTTTTTTTATTTTGCAGGAGGTACACTCTGGAGAGTTTCCTAGAGCTTGGCCTTCTGACAACTTCAAGTATTTGAAGCCATGTGGAACTAGGAACCCATCGTGTCACCATCAATGGTTTCCCATCATTCTTAGGACAAAGTCCAGATCCTTAAACATAGCCTATTTGCCTTCATTAACATGACCCTGGTGACCTCTAGCATTTCATTCCGAGAAGCAATGCTTCCCCCACTCTTCTCAAGTCATTGTTTGCTTCCCTGAGAGAACCAACTTCAGAGCCTTTCACACATACTGCTTCCTCTGTCTGGACTCCCCTCTCACTTTCATTCTCTAAACTTTATCAGGTTAATTCTTGCCAACCTTTCAGGTTTCCCCTTAAATATAATGGCATTTTTGCATTCATTTCACAAATATTTAAGGCTTATTATATGCTTATAAGCATTTCCTTAGGGAAGCCTTCTCTGACTTCTCAGACTAGGTCCTATTAGATTTTTGCCACTGCAAATTATGTTTTTCCTTTCTACTACCTATTGCAACATAATTATTTGTGTGATTCTTTACACAACGTGTGTCCTCTTTGCTAAACTTCATGAGGGCAAAGACAATGCCTATTATGTTCATCTTTGCATTCCCACTGCTGAGCATAGCACCTGGTATATATTTTTGGTGGTCTAAAAATAACTATAAAATAAATAAATGAAGGTAAGGCAAATTAAGGCAAAGAAGAAACTCTGTCAACAAACAAAAAATCCAGTGCAGCAAGGAGTCACAAAAATGACTGAGGAGTGACTAAGTCTCGGGGCTTACATCAGATACTATGTTATGGCTTCATTCCCTGCCAGAAGGATAGGAACCCTCTCACTTACTGGCAAAAGGTATAAAATTCAAGCTGCTCAGAAGAACGCTGAACTGCAGGGGAGAAACAGCCAGGGGGAATAGAGAGGGGAATAGAGAAAGAAGAGAACAGAAATTTGGAAAAAGGATGAAGGAACAAAAAGCAACAGCAAAACCCAATTTAGTAGTGACAAGAAGGGCAGTAGCTCAGATTTGAAGCAGGAATGGTGAGGCTCTAAGTAGCCAACACTCTGCTGTGAACAAGATGACACCCGGCTACACGATGGGAGAATAGCTGTAGTAGAGAAGCACGTGACTAAAGGTGTTCTAAACGGCGCACAGCTCTATGGTCTGAGTAGCATTTGCTAAATATTACTTTCAGATGGCCTCAGCTACATAAATCCTCTAAGCCATAGTGACAGCACTCATTGCTAAGTCAGCATACCACAGAGTAAGGGTTGGGAAACTATGGCCTGTGGGCCAAATTCACCTAGAAGTCTGTTTTTGTAAAGTTTTATTGAATTACAGCCACGTTTACTTATTAACATATTGTCTATGGCTGTTTTCATGCTGTAACATGCAGAGTTGAGTACTTGTGACAGAGAATGTATGGCCTGCAAAGCCCAAAACACTTATTATCTGGTCCTTTACAGAAAGTTTGTCAACCCTTACTGTAGAATATAATAGTCTGCATACAATCTTCCACAGAAGCAGCAAAATAGGAACTAGGAGTGCTTTTGAAGCCACCTTGCGATATGTAATTGAGATTTTCTCAAAAGAAAGGAAAAGGATGGGAGCATAAAAAAGCTGGATTAACTAAAAGGAAAAAAATAATGATTTCTATTTAAAGACAATGACCAAGTTTTTGTGGCAACAGATTTCTTATGAACAAATGTGGCTGAAAACTATAATAGTTAGCGATAATAATTAGCACCATGTACTGAATTCCTACTACAGGTCAGGCACTTACCATGTGCTACATGTCATTCAGGATTCTGAGACTAGCTTGGCAAGAAGAGGGTTATTATTCCAAGCATTATTTCCCAACTGAAGAAACTGAGTTTCAGCTAGCCTAAATAATGAAACTAAGTCACGTGTTAAGTGGCTAAAATGGGACTTCAACCCATCTTGTAAGAATCCAAGAAATGTGTACTTTTCACTAGGTCTCAGTGCCTCTTCAACAACCCTGTGTGCGTTTTATGGTAGACTGACTGTACTGCTATTTTTTAAAATAGAAGGGGGGCGCCTGGCTGGCTCGGTTGGTAGAGCGTGTGACTCTTGATCTCAGGTGGTGAGTTCAAGCCCCAAGTTGGGTGTGGAGATTACTAAAAAAATAAACTTAAATAAGTAAATAAATTTAAAAAAAGAAAAAGAATCATTAGCAGCTTTCAGAAGAGTAAATATGCCTGCTTCTCCCCAACAGCCATCACAACATTCATTTATTATCAAAAGTGGCTAGTGTGGGAGATGAAAATTCCAGGCAAAAAACCTACATGACAACATTTATGTTTTTGTGATTTTTTTTTTTCCCCTGGAGAGTTTATTTCTGAGCACAATAAATTCCCTGACAAGGCTAATGGACTATTTGCCAGCTTCTATCATGACCTTTGCAGGTGAACCAAGTGTCTGTAGGTTAAACAAATGAACATCATATTAACTTCTCTTGAAATAAGCTTGAAAAATAAAATATTTGCTGAATGGACAATTTCAGTGTCCAAAGATTTCAGAGGATTCATGCATTTAATTAGTTCTTTCAGTGGAAAATTAATTTAGCAAAAGATAATTTGTGGAACAGGCTTCACCACTTAGGAACTGTAGAGCTTGATCCGGGAAAGAGCGACAGTGCCAATAACATTATCATCTTCCTCCTTTGTGATGTTACCTTAGCAATTTAAATGACAGATTAGGGGGCTTTAAAAAAATATATACATTATAGAAGAAATATCATAATGAAAGGGGACAACACTATCCACAACTTTCAAGGTGATTTCAACATTAAAAGTACAATTTAAAGTATATCAAATATATAGAAAACAGAAAAATCATTGCTTAGGGTTTTATATGCAGCAGGTTATTCTTTTCTCATGTAAAAAAAATACCCTTCTTTTATACGTCCATTTACAAGATTAATGCTACAGAGAGAAATACAGAGAAAAGCTGTTAAAAAGATACTTGTATGGTCTATTGCATTAGCAATATAATACATTTTGAATAATTCTTGAGAAGTTAAATGTCCATGGTAACAATTTTACTTAATGAATATTAACTGAGCATGTACTACCATCCTTCTCTGAATCTAAGATGCCAGGGACTATAAAATGTACCACTATTAAGATGCATCACAATTTTATGTATAATTTGGAGAAAAATGCTGCCAGTTATAATTGTAAAATGCTGTTGCCTGTAAAATGCCTTCCAGTTGAAAGAGATGTTAAAATGTAAATTAAAATTTT